AAAACCTATTTTTCATAGTTTTTTTCTCTTTTTTGAGGTTCAGTCTTAGGGACTGTGTTAAGCTGGGTTTGAACTATTTTCAAAGTTTATTAATCTGTTTCCCATTTTTACCCCTAGTGTCAGGACCTTCCTGTTCTTGGCTCAGTTTCCTGCTCTGGAGAGAAGGCCTTCATAAGATTTATTATTCAGTCCATTCACCCAGAAATTCCTATCAAAAAGCCCTAAATAGATCAAAAGGCACAGCCTTCCCATCAGATTCAGAGACTGAAAACCCCCAAAGGAATGAGGATGATTCCTTGACCTCAAAGGGAATATGCTCAGAAACAAGACCCTTTAACAAGTAGAATTCTCAAGAGAGTTTAGAGCCAACCAGTTATTCATACCTTGAATTCTGAATATACAGAGTTGGCTGCCTGTTTTCAGACACTGACATGGACGCTTCTTTTCTGACTCAGTGACCTGGAGCTCTCTCTCTCTCTTTGGTGACCTGTCATATCTGTTTGCCTTGTACTTTGACCTTAAGTCCTTGTCTGGACTAAGCCAGATGTCAGTCACTTCCCTAATTTGGGATTTGTTTTACTTTAACTAATGCCTAACATAGCTGCGACCACCCTTCTCCCCACGCCTTTTCCCATTCATAACCTAATTGAATTCGACCTTGTCCTTCATCTGCCTGCCCTTGTGCACTAAACCCAGGGCACAATGGATAAATCCCACCTTCATTGCTCCTGTATGGTAAGGATCAGCAGAATCCAATTTCCAAAGTGTGGAAATGGATCCTGTCCTTACCTTCCCGCTTCTCCATCCTCATCACCAGCCGTTCACGTGGTGCACTGTCTCTCAGCCCCAGCCACCCAGAGCTAGGTCAGAGCTCACACTTTAGAAGGACACCTTCTTTCAGACTGCCACATAGGAAGACACAAGCTCCTTTCTAGCTCTCACTAGCCCTGTGGGTTCATTAATCCACTGGAATGACTCACATAATCTCACAGAAAATACACCATACTTACGGCTGAAACTTTATTACAACCAAAAAAGATACAAATGAAGAGACACGTAGGATGAGGCCGGGGATGGATCACAGTGCAGAGCTTCCATGTCTCCACAAGGGGATGTACTACCCTCTCCCAATCATGGTCACCAACTAGGTAGGTCCATCTGAGCCTCAGGGTTCAGGGCT